TGGGCAATGATCGAAGCAGCTAACGTGACCGATCAAATTGACACCGTTGTTTTATTAACAAAGTTGTTTTTTTTTTTTTTTTTAAATCACCAAGTTAACATTTTTGACTGTTTAAAAATTTTTAGAAAGATTATATCTGTGAAATTTCCTCGATATTATTGAGGTACAGCCACACGCCAATGTCAAACTTTTCAAAACTTACTGATCCTGCGCTTCAAACTGCTACTCTTAGTTTCCTTCATATGTGCACTGCCATATTTTTGGAGGTTCAAAGGTTTTGGAGATAGTGAAATTGAGGGATTTCGATTCTCTCCCGGTCCATGCTTATTCGCAAAAAAGGATTTCTTTTGGGACACAGATATATCTTAGCACAGCGGTTTAGCTGATGATTGCGGAGTAAGAATCTTGTGCACTGGAAAGCGAATTACGATGGTTTACTTCTAGGACGCGACTAGTTATTGTTTCTTACGATGAAGATACAAAATTAGCAGATGTGAAGCATATTTTATTCGATGAAATTTCGAGCTTGGAAAGTGGACGATTGGGGCGTCCTGCAAGAACACATCTGAGGTTTGTTCCAAAAAAAAGTTCATGCAAAGACATGGTGATTCCTGTCCAACTACACTAAGAGTTTCTCGAAACAAAGCATTTCTGTTTGTAGAATCGTTGAGCCGGTAATTTCTCCAGAAAATGAAATAAGCATCAGAACCGAGAGATGGCTGACCCGCAAGCAACTCATTATTTGATAGAATAACTAGAAAGTTGCTAACTCCATAGATGGAGTCTTAGACGATGAATTACAGCTTAAAAAGGATCATTTTCCGTACCTGAAATATTTGAAGGAGTTCTGAATCTTTTTTTGAAGGAGTTCCGATTCAGAGTCTTTTTTCTCCAACTATGCGCCTGGCAACTTTTCCCGCTACTCTGATCATTGCTTTATTGCCTGGGTAATCAGCCTACTCTTGATATTTGTTTCATTGAAACATACATGTAGAAATTTTATCAAGAAATAGCCATGATGTGCGTTTTAGAGTTTGTACAAAATCAAACGAACGATTCACTTGGCGAGCTGCCAAAACACGCCTGTTCAATAATGTTGCAATTCCGTTGCGAACAGACGAAGAGGCCGATGAGTATATGCAGGCGATTGGTGAACAAATCAAGGTGACGATGGCACTAGCTGGGAAAACGATCAATTTGTCTTCGGTTCCTACACTTACTAATCCAGGAAGAATCGACAAGAACAAGTAATTTTTTGCTTTTTTTAAGCTATCAGCAGCGATGGAACCCTCTCCGTTTTCGCTCTCTGTGAGAAACGAAAGCACTTGGGAAGTTGCCCGAGTGCTTCCGCACATTGACAACAGTAATCGCCCACTGGAAAAGCTGTCCGTGGCTCCCTCTTTTAACTGTTTCTTATAAATAAGCTGATTGAAGATAGTATAATCACAGCTTTTATAGTACGATTTCGAGTGGGTTTAAAATCGCAGCCTGATAATTATCCCTTTTTCAGAATCTTTTTTTTTTTTTTGTAAACATGAAGCGTTGCTAGCCACATAGGTGGGAAACCAGATTATTACAAG